AAGTCGATACTGGTCTATCAAAAACCACAACAAAGATTGAGTTCACGCACTCACTTCAATTGGCCTGAAAAATGAAAAACAAAGCCATGACTCCTAAAGCTCGACTCAAAACAAATCATTGAACATTGATGCAGTTCAACATTGATGCATGGCAATATCACTTCCGGATGTTGGACAATCAAACCTTAGAGTTTTCAAGATAAAACAAGACGATGCAACAAACCAACCAATTTCAAATTGCCATGCGCCGAATCCACTCCATTGCCTCGGATAACCCGAAGCGAGCCTGCGTGCCAAATGAAGGCAGTTGCCGCGGCATTGGGTCACATCTTTTGGCCGGTGCAATAGGACCATAAAAACAAGTGATGGTCAATGTACTCAAGACCTGATCAAACAAAGAAGCCAACCTTTGTGAAGACCAAAAATCCGATTCAATTAATCATTCTTTTGAAGGGTTTCGAAACCACAATGCGTTATTGTATATACTTTGGTGACCTTTGGTGGTTCCCTGTTTACATGCCTGCGTGCTTGAGTGCGCGAAATACACAAAAATCGTTCTGGCAAAAACTTCAGAGATCTTTGGTGACTCACTGACTATACCCCATCCCATGTGTTGAATGTGTGGAATACACGCCCACCAATCTGAGCCCAAGTAATATCCACATGTGCGTCAACGTGTCTCCCGCAATCGATCCTGAACTGTTTGGATTACAAACGCAGACCCAGGAAACAAAACAAACACTTTCCAAAAGCTGAAAGACCCGTGGCTCCAAACATGAACACATATGTTTGGAATATCGAAACAAGACCAAAAGCAAGTATAGTATATGTCTGAAACCTATATATGAAGTACTTGTTTACACCTGAGGATGCGAGCACGTGTGGCCCAACACCGCCTTGACCATTGAATTGAACATTAAAAGAAATAACACCGTTGCCAACGATAGACGAGATATAGGCTTCTATTTTCCACTTGCTAAGTTGGCCGGTCGAACTTAGTAAGTTCGACCGGTCAAACTTATAAGCGTAGATATTAAGTTGGATAACCTGGATAACCTCAACTAAAACATATGTCGAACTTACATATCTTAAGATAGTAAGTTCACATTAACTAGATCATATGTTTGCTATCTTCGCGCCAGAGTTACCAAGTGGTTATATCACCTTAGTTAGTACAGACAGGAACACAAGTGCACAGATTAGAACACGGTTGCAAGTTAGTTACCGCAGTTGCAACCACCTTGTAACTATATCAGTTATAGTCTAGTTACATTCGGTTAGTAAGCTGGACAACCAGGCTAAGTACTTATAACGCCAACCGCACATCCAAGTAAGGTGCAGGAGGCCGGCGGCAAAGATGGTGTCGGCTCGTTCGATGTATGTAGCACGGTGTATGAGAGTGGAAAGGGCTCGGTGTAGCCGAAAGAGCTGTTGCATGTTGGTGGTGTGGCGAACGCTGGCGGACGTGGCTCAGTCAACAGGCCAGTGCGGCTCCCACGCTGACCAGATTCTGGAGAGTCTTCAAGGGGCACTTGTTGAGTTTGTTCAAATGAAGTCCATATCGGGCGCCCGCTTCACGAAGTTGCTCCACGGTGCATTTGCTCGTTTGGAGAAGACGAACACTCTTGATCCTTGGCCGATTCTTGAATGGCGTCAGGTGGAGAGCCAGGTGGTGAGGGCAGGAATGGACCATGAGAGACGGATGCGGTGGCTGAAGGACATTGGCCAGTATTGGGGGCTTGTGGGGCGGTGCCTCGGGAAGTGTGGCTGGAGCCGATGGAGCTGAGCTGCGGCTTCTGGCATCTTTGCGAGGAGCAAGTTCCAGGCCATGGGCCTGAAGCTTGTGCTCGCTCGAGGTCGTCGGTCTTGGCCTTTAGCTCACGAAGAGCAGAGCCCTCAGCTGCAGCGGGAGCGTGGGCTGCGAGGTGGTGGGTCACCAGTTCGATGAGTGGTGCCAGGTAGGCACGGGCCTGCGTGGTTTTGTTGGGGATCTCGTTGCCTTGGGCGCGATGAAGGGCTTCGGCTGTGGCATCTAAGTCCAGGCGTTTGTCGCGCAGGTCTTGGAGGAGATGAGTGATGAAGATCGATTCGGCGATACTGCGGGTAGGTATCAGTCCACAATACTTGCCATGGCTCAAGGTGCGAGCCGTGAAGTCCGCAGTGCCATGATAGGCAAGTACCCAAGGGTACACATCGAAAATGGGGAGGCCGGCAATCCCCGCCTTGCGTGACCATTGAGCGGGTTGGATGGTGCGGAACAACTGGTGGCCGTGGAGGACATTTGCGTCCCAGTGAGTGTAAGGGAGGTGCAGGTGGGGTGGAGTGTGTTGGGCTGTGAGTGAAAGAGGTGTTGTTCGGAGTCATGGGTGCAGAAGGTGCGGAGGAGGAGGTGGAGGGAAATCATGGTGAACTGATGGTGGTGATGTAGGGTGTTGGCTGGGGGAATGGTGGTATGGCTGATGTTGATGTGCTTGGTGAGTGCGAATGGCGTGAGTCATCGGCCCATACGTGTGAGTGGGCGTGTACTGGGTGGTCGCTTGCTGCTGATGGGCTTGGTGGTGAAGGTAGTGTCGCCAATAGTACTGCTGCCACTGCGCATCCATGGTGATGATAGATAGGTTCTCCGGACATGGCGCATGATCCAGCTGGCAAAACCATGAAAGTCGGGCAAAAAGCAAGCGTGTGAACGGCGGCCGCGGCAGCTTTTTCTGTGGACGAGTCCAGTACGTGAGGGAGAAGTGAGACAAGAGTGGCGAGACTGGTGTAGAGGTGAGGCTGTTGGATGTTGTCACAGGTCGGGTGGAGTGGTGTCAGGTGACCAGGCAAGGCCACGAACTATGGCGTTCTTAGTCTTAGGGTCAATGACCCAGCATCGGCCATTTTGGTGGAACACAGCGCCGTGTTGTTGTTGGAGGAGATTGGCGGCTTGCTCTCCCCACCGCCCTGGGTGATTTTCTTGCCGGCGCCCCAAGCAAGAAGTGTGACAACGATGGAGAGGGAATTTTGGGCAAGGTTCCGGGTGTTGAAGATAATGCGAGCAGTCTCTAGGGGTGTTGCGGAGTGTTGGGGGTGTCGAATTGCTCTGCGTGACAATTGAGCCAGATTTCAAGCTGCTCTTGAGCTGGCTTACGAGTATAGTGGGGTGGTTCCTTCCAGGAATTGAGCACGCGGTGCGCTGTTGGATAGTTGCAGCTGTGTCGTTGTCTCGGTCAGCAAGTTCAGTATTGGATCGCAATGTGATAGGTTGTCGGTTGGAGCGAGAACGGCTGCGGGATCTCGGTGAGACGCCGAGTTGGTGTGGGAGTGGCGGGAGCGGTGCTGATGCTGTTGATCCGAGCGACCTCTGTGGCGATGTCTGCGGTGTCGGCGACGGCCATGATGCCGGTGGCGGCGTCGCCTGCGGTGATCGGTGGAGGGGGAGGTGTTGCTTGTGTTGCTCTGTTGTCGGTAGTGTTGAGCGGAAGTGGAGTCAGTGGTCTGCTGAGACGAGGATTGCTGAATGGCTTTTCAGCCGGGTTGGTGAATGCTGGCTGACTTCGGGTGGGATTGGTTGGTGTGGCAGTGGTGGAACCTTGTGCGTTTTGTTCCGGGCCGGTGGGCTGGTTGGGGTCCGCGAGATTCATTGGTGGAAAAGCTGAAAAAGGAAGTGGCTGCCAGACTCCATTGTGAGGGGCGCTTGTGTGGGTGGTAGTTGAGAAACAGGATGACGGAGTCTTGTGGCAGCAATGTAGTAGGAAAGCTGTAGGTAATGGGAAAGACGGGCGCTGGATGTTGAACTGGCTGTGGAAATGTGGCTGGTGGTGTTGGAAAGGTGGGATGTGAAGGCCATGTGGAATGTTGCATCATGGGAAATGGATGGCACGGTGTAGGGGGAAGTGCATGCTGCTGAACTCTCAACTCACTGTTGTCGTCGGCAGCAGCATGAGCGGCGGCGGCAGCACGAAGAATCGGCGCCAGGCAAAAAGTCACTGGATAACAGTGAATGAAAGTGAAACGTGGGTGGCTGAGTTCAATTAAAATTCCATCGCAAATTGAGTGGAGGTACTCGCAACAAGTTGAAACAGGAAATGTGAGCCATCAGTCCAACATGTGACAGTGCGTGGAAAATTGGAAAAGTTCAGCTGCGTGTTACCCGAACCTTGAAAGCTCTGGAAAGAAACTCCGTGAACCCGGCGGTGTCAAATCTCCGTAAACTCGTCAGTGTTTTGGCAGGAAATTCATTGGGTGAAACGTTCAACTCAGAAAAGATAATCCAACGCATGCAGAGAACGCTGAATCACTATGTGATTCCCGATGGCTTCGGCGCCCCCTTACGGGGGATCACACTCTGCACCCAGTGGGACGACAGAGCGGCGCACACTTAGACAATGGGTTTGCAGTTAACTCTGTTCCACGAGGAAATGGATGAAGGGAAAGAAAGGTGAATCGTTTGGGCGCTTGAAGATGTTTCAAAAACTGTGTGTGCACATCTGCGGAAAACAGCGGTGGCTCAGAAAAGTAGCTGCAGAAAGCGGCGGTGGGGAATGTTTTGGGGTCTATCATGAGAACAACCATGGCATCAAAAAACAACGGTGGAGATAGGGGTGTCGTAGGTACAGGTGGATGAGTGGATGATCAGTCCACCCTTCCCTTGTCATACCGTAGCTTCGTTGCGTACGGTGGGTATGACGAGCCGTACACCCCTGCACTGAACAAGAACTCTTCGGACAGAGTGTGACACACACACACAGATTCTCGAAAGTTAGAACAGGGGAACCTCCCCAGAATATGATGACTGTGTTACCAAGTTCCTTTCAAAAGTAATCCCCCAAAAATGTTGCTTGGCGCGACAAAGGCCTGAATGTGGTTGTGTTCGCCAGAGCCTTCCTGTTTGAGGTTGCCCTTGAGCTTTCTGAGTGTTTTCAGCAGTTAAGCAATGTTACCGCAGCCAACAACAAAATCACTTATGAACGGTTCACCTGTCATTTTTGCGGTATCTCGTTCTGTCTCCGGTGTGTCAGGTTGAATCCTCGAGTCTGGAAGTCCGATGCAAATGTGGTCAGTGGTGGCATGAGCTTCGACATCTTCAAGCCTGGCATCTTGCTGTTGAACGAGACCAAAATGGAGTGCAACTTAGGCGGGGGTGTTGCGATTGGTGCACTCTAAGAGAGATTGACGGTCTTGCCCCGCAGACGAAAGTGATGGGACGACCAGGGAACAGAGTTTGTTTTTCTATAGTGATGATCAAACCCCAATAACGATGGACTCAAACCTACTAGAGTCATAAGTCATAAGTATTTGGAGTCAGGGTGGTTCGTTTACTTCGGCTTCAACTCTCTCACCTGGTTTGTTTCTGCGAAAGTGGAGCGGCGCTCACTGTCAACCTGAAAAGCTCAACTCCACTTTTGCCAGGGCGAATGATTCGTGCAGACGTGGAGGAGCCAGGCCGCTTCTACGTGCTCGACGACCGGCTCGAGCTGCTGGAGCAATGAGGGTGGACGAGCACTCGGGAGGGCAAGCCGGACCCAGAGACTACTTGGAGGCCATCGCTAGTAGGTTGGAGGCCATCACTACTAGCCATGGCTAGTAGGTTGGAGGCCATCGCTATTAGGTTGGAGGCCATCACTACTAGCCATGGCTAGTAGGTCGCTAGTAGGTTGGAGGCCGTCACTACTAGGTTGGAGGCCATGGCCAGTAGGTTGGAGCTACTAGGTTGGAGGCCATCGCTCGTGGGTTGGAGGCCATCACTACTAGCCATGGCTAGTAGGTTGGAGGCCATCGCTAGTAGGTTGGAGGCCATCGCTATTAGGTTGGGGGCCATCACTACTAGCCATGGCTAGTAGGTTGGAGGCCATCGCTAGCAGGTTGGAGGCCATCGCTACTAGGTTGGAGGCCATCGCTTGTACGTTGGAGGCCATCGCTAGCAGGTTGGAGGCCATCACTACCAGGTTGGAGGCCATGGGTAGTACTTGTAGGTTGGATGCCATCACTGCTAGGTTGGAGGCCATCAGTACTGGGGTAGAGGCCATCGCTAGTAGGTTGGAGGCCATGGCCAGTAGGTTGGAGGGCAGTGCTGGTAAGTTAGGTTGGAGGCCATCACTAGTAGGTTAAAGGCCATCGCTGATAGGTTGGAGGCCATCGCTACTAAGTTAGAGAAAAATTACTATAAAGTTCAAGCCATGACTACTAGGTTGGATTGCTACTGGGTTGAAGGCCATTACTATTTTCCACGGACATACCACTTGGATGGACCAGGTCGAGGACAACGCACTGGTTTCTCTTGAAACAAGGCGCCCTTACAATGCCAAGGTTCCAAAGAATTATGCGGTGCTTCCGAGTGCTTCCGGGTCTCTGCATGGTAGACTCATTTTACAAAGCCTGGCTTATAACATCTTACAACATTTCGCAGGAAAGGGGGATCATAAGACGTTCCACTGTTCGATTTCAATTCTATATATGTCCTGTAAAGGTGAATGTAGCGACTTCATCCGCTCCATTGGCGATTGTTATTTTATTTTTTCCGGGCCCATCAAAACCCACTCTGCCCTGCTTCAAAGTGACACGCGCAGTTGATAGATTCTATCACTAGAAGACCCTGTTCTTCTTGTGTATGTGACGTGTTCATACAGTACATGTTCCACTTTTCGACGAAGTGATCCCCTGTTTTCTGTGCCAGTCGATGAAACCGCGAGGAGAACACCTTGTCATCCCCGACGACAAGGAACAGTGCAGGGTCCAGCTGTTCAACAGTGCCCAGGAGCTTTCTCAATGAGGACTCTTGCAGGTCAGGGTCGCCTTTTAGAATCTTGAGATCTTTTTTGCTTTTGGAAAGCTGATGTCAGATGGCCCTTTGCCCGGTGCTTGTCCTTTGGCGTTGGGGGATCTAGTGACCCAGTGTTGGGCACGATGTTTTTCTTTCACGCTGTGATTCGTTCGAGCACTTTGCAGTGACAGATGTTCGAAAACGGTCACCTTCAGCCTGGCCTTGCAGATCTGACTTGTGGAGATTTGTCTCGCAGGTTGCTGCCAGGCTGCAGCCCTTTGACGCAAGAGCTCTTGTTGGTCCCACTGACGGTGGAGCATCTCTCGCAATTCCACACAGTTGGGGGCAGGCGGGGCTGGGCCGCTTGGTCGATGCTGGCGGAACGACGCCGTGTGGCGGAACGAAGGGTATGTCATAGACGAAAACCGCACTGCTGCTGCCACTCTTGTGCTAGGTGGACATTCGCCAAAACAGCCTACAGCCCACAGCAAGCAACACGGAACCTACAATCGCAACATACGCTGGGACAGTTTTGTAATCGTTCGTCGTCATAAATCTACCTATGTGTATATATGGCAAGTCTTGGAAGTATGTAGAGACGTTAATGATTTCATCCCCTTGCGATTGGCCATTCCGATCTCAAGATCTTCGAGGGGTAGGACATGGAACTCCTGATCCTGACCGGCGTGTTGGTGGCAGGGATCGGAGTTGGGCTGTCGTTCAACGGCAGGGGAGACGTATCTCCTGTCGTGTGCCACTGCGAGTGTTCAGGTGAGAAGACCTCCCCAGTTGCTGGAGGCAATCCTTTCAGGGACATTTTCTTGAGTTGGGTTGTTGGATTGATTTGTGGAGGGGCATCATTTGTGCTGGCACGATTTTGGTGGCAGAGCGAGGGCATTCCTGTCTCCCCCAAGGGTAAAGGCAAGCGTGGAGTTTACGGCACCGGAATTCCTTTGCAAATCACAGGATGAGTGAAGGAGATATTTGGTTTGTTGATTATGGTGAAGGGCCACCTCAGGTTTGGCATAGTCGACTCCTGGCCGCCCACATCGTTAATTCGTTGTGGGTGATTGTGACCCCGGACCATGACATATACGAAGAGCAGCTTGACAATTCGAATCCGGATGTTGTACAAGTCGTGCAAGGAGGCGGAGGACTAGGCGCTGCAGTTCCAGCCGCAGTCAACCCTGCCAACATATATGGGTTTCGGGCTATGACAGCACAACAGTATCAGCAGCTTATGAACAATGCAAAGCAGTATGCAGCAGGTTTGCGTGTTCAGATGGGCCTTCCTCCCCCTGGCCTCCATCCGGCCCCTGGAGCCGCAGGACCAGTTGTACCGCAGGATCCAATGGTCTGGGTGGCGATGGAGGCTGATCATGGGAAGGTGGCTGGTGAGGTCATTTGTGATGTTGGTGTACCACTACCTGCAGGTGCAGTCACGTTGGGTAGTTCCAAGGCATTGATTCCTATCAACACAGGTGCATTGTATGTCAAACAGGTTCAAAAGAGTAAGGTTGGCACGATGGTTGTCAAAGACCTCAGAGTTCTCCCGCTTCGATTTGATGAACAGGGTCAACGAAGGGAAGAGTTCAGCAAAGCAGTGGCCCGCATGAGTCAAGATGAGATGCCCGGGGGTGGCCTGATGTTGGATGGACCTCCGTCCGCGTTGGCAGTCATGAAGGGCATTGTGGCACGTGGGCTCACTCCAGTGACCGATCACGAGTATTGGGTTCGGACTAATGAGGCATTGAAAGGTGATAGATCATTGTACGAGATGGAGGTCATCACCCGTGCATTGGAGGCTTTTGCAACCCAAGATCAGCTCAACATTCCAAACAGTCGAGGGTGTGAGTTGTTGATGCGTCGCTGGCAGTTGATCAGAGAAGCTCATCGGTTGAATCCCAACTCGCCTGACTACTCGGCCAGTGACATTTTCATGGGTTGGGAGTACAGGCGAGGAGCAGGAGTTCATCAGGAGCTTGCCAAGTTTGTGGCCTCAGAGTTGAAGGACATGGCACAGATCTCAAAGGAGGCCAGGAAGGCAAGAGAGGAGGCTGCGCTCAAGAAGACCAAGGGCGGGGGCAGAGGTGCTCCTGCCGAGGCCAAGTAGCCTCCCTTTGCACAGCTGATCGGGTTGAGGGCGCTTTCGATCAGCTTCGTTTTTCTCAGTGCCCTGGTTTTGTTTCATCTCAGGTGGCCTCCACATCATGCTGGACGACACCTTGCACGTTGAAGAGCCTTGGATGCGACAGAGGGATTTGCTGCCTCTGCCTCACTTCATTCCGGAGGGGGACCCTGGAGATCATGGTCACCCCCGAAGAGCTGGTTTGTCTGAAGGAGCCTACAGGCGTCATGTCAGACGTCATGAGAACGTTTGCAGGGCAAATGAGGCGATCAGTGCAATCAACAGCTTGGCGGGTTTTTCTTTTGCAAAGCAAGGAGCTCCGTCGGAAGTGCAGTGCAAAGCAATGAGTGGCATCTTGAAGTCGATATGTGAGGCCCCAAGGCCGAATTCATCTACAGTTACACCTATGCGTGAGGCCGTTCGTGAGCTTCTGCATTACCGTCCTTCCACAGCATATGTTGAGCAGGAAGAGACGGGGACAACTACCGTTAGGCCGTACCAAAGAGACCTGGTTTCGTTGCCAGAGCCTGGTGCCCGTACACTGGATGCCATTGACCTGGTTGATGATGTGGGTCGCGATATCCTCTCGGCCTTCCACGACACAATGCTGCGAGATGTGGAAAAGGATCCGCCTAAGAGGCTGCCAGGAGATATTACTCCATACATGGATGTGAAGCTGAAGGCATCCTCCACATTGTACGAACAGTTCGTATTGGATCTATGGGATAGGAACATGCTGGAGTTTATAGATAAATCCAAATGTGAGGTCACCCCCTTCTTTGTGATCAAAAAATCTGGCAAGCTCAGGATGGTTTTGGATTGTCGGGCATCCAACGCCTTCTTTCAGGACCCTCCGGACATTGCCATGCCAGCCGGGTATTCGTTCTCCCAACTCGAGATTCCTGATGGGAAGAATATGTTTATTGCACAGACGGATGTCAAGGACTATTTTTATTCCATTGGGATGCCAAAAGAACTAAGGCCGTTTTTTGCTTTGCCAGCCGTGGATCTTCGTCGGGTGATTCCCAACCATCCCCTTTGTGGTCAAAGACACGATGATGTTTTGTTGATGCATCCTGCAATGAAGGTGGCGCCCATGGGCTGGAACTGGGCAATGTTCATCGCCCAGCGAGTACATCAACATCAGAGCATGCTGGCCGCTGGACTTACAATGGACAGGGTTCTGGTTGATGGGCGCCCTAGCCCCTCAATTGCAGAGGATGTAGCAATTATCCCCTATGCTGATAACCTCAACATCGTTGGTTGTGATCAGGACAAGGTACAAGCAACAAAGCACATCATTGTCAAGCATATGGAATCACTTGGCTTTAGGATCCATGAAGAACAGGAGGCAATGGTTCAGGCAGAGTCATTGGGCTTTTTCATTGATGGCCGGGTTGGGAAAGTTTATCCAAAGCCAAACAAACTACAGAAAGTTCGCAAAGTTCTGAATTGGTTGGCCCTGCGTCCTCGTGTCTCAGGAAAGATGTTGGAGCGCATCATTGGACACTGCATTCATTTTTGCATGTTGAGAAGAGAGCTTTTGTCGGTTTTTCGTGCTGATTATGACTTCAAGATCATTGCATACAATAGCAGGCAAAGACTCTGGAAGACAGCAGCTTTGGAATGTAAGTGTATGGCAGCCCTTCTTGATTTGTGTTTTGCGGACCTGCGACGGCCGTGGTGTCAGGAGGTCACAGCAAGCGATGCCAGCCTCACTGGAACTGCGGTGTGCTCATCTCATTGGGAACCAACGCACATACATCAGGTGGGGAGACAACGGGAGTTATGGAGATACAGGGCTGTTGGCGGTGCCGGGAGGGCCAGAGAACATGTTCAGGCCTTGGACCCATTCACTGACCAGGAAACGGTGAGACCATCCACCCCCATTGCTTCACTGGTGCAACCTCTGGATAGTTTTCAGTTGAATCTAGACTTCAAGGAGGTTCCTTCATCTTTGTTACGAGTTGAGGACTGGACCATTGATTTTTCAGCACGTATGACCATGCCAGAGCACATCACGTTGCTTGAGGGTCGAGGGGTGGTTCAGGCCCTCCGGCACAAAGCCCGGGGGTCCGTCAACTTTGGACAACGACATATCCACTTGAATGACAACCTTGGTATGACACTTGCTTTCGACTTCGAGACTTCCAAGATGGGTGTGGCCGACGAGAACCTCAGTATAGACTCCAAGGCAGTACCATGGCTGGGAAAAGCTCTGGCCATGTTGAGCAAAAACCTCCTTCCGACACAAAAGCTGTTCCAGGTCGAGTACAACAGTTTTTTGGAAGATTGGAAGAAGGCCCTTCAAAAGTGCAACCTGCCTCGAGGACACTCAACTCCCTACCAGCTGCGCCATGCCGGCGTCAGTTGGGACCGCTTCAAAGGCTACAGGACACAGCTGGAAGCAAAGATGAGAGGTCGTTGGCAGTCAGACAGCTCCATGAGCAGATACGAAAAGAAGGCACTAGTGGCGACAGCTTTCGACACGCTCCCTCAGCAGGTTCAAAGGCTTTGCAATGCAGCAATCCAGACGCTGCCCAGCAAGGCCCTCAGCATTTTGGGCCAATGAAAGGTTTTCATGGGTATGCTCTTGAGTTGTTTGCCGGTTCAGCCCGACTTTCCAAAGCATTGTCTAAGTTGAACTGGCACGTTGAGGCTTGGGACATCAACTTTTCTTCGGCGTGTGACTTGAGTAAGGTGAATATTGTGAACAGCTTGATAGATAGAATCAAATCGGGTGCAATTCAATTTGTTCATTTTGGCTTGCCTTGCAATACATGGTCGCGTGCCCGCAGAAATGATGGCCGAGGTCCCGGTCCCCTACGTGACGACACAACTTTTCTTATGGGACTCCCAAATCTGTCAGCTGTGGACCAAGGAAAGGTCAAACTTGGAAACGTTTTGCTCCTTCACTCAGTCCGCCTAATACGAGCTTGTCAACAGGCCAATGTTGGTTGGACGCTGGAGAACCCCAAGACGAGCAGAGTTTGGTTGACAAGACAGCTAAGACGCTTGAAACACTGTCATTTTACATATGTGGATTTTTGTCAGTACAAGCTCCCTTGGCGCAAGTCGACACGTTTCCTTTGTTGTGACCGCTTGAACTTTGAACTTCGATGTTGCACCGGACCTCGAGGTATTTGTTCTCGTACATTGGCTCCACATTTGATTCTAGCGGGGTCTTACAATGGACAGTTTTTGACAAAACTTGCAGAGCCATACCCATGGACAATGGTTCGAACAATTGCTTCAGCAATTCATCAGCAGACTCCCAAGAGTTCGGGGTGAGAGTTGTTGGACAGTGGCGCTTGACTTCGTTGCATGTGGCCGGTG